AAAAAAAAAAAAAAAAAAAAAAAAAAAAAACAGAGAGAGAGAGAGAAACTTCTTTTCTCACAGTTCTAGTGGTTTTTTTTTTTTGTTGTTGTTGTTGTTTGTTTTTGGGGCAGGAGCTCACCGAACTGCCCAGGGTAAGCTCAGACTTGCAATCCTCCTGCCTCAGCCTCCTGAGTATAAGCATGTGCCCCTGAACCTGGCAGATACAGCAATCTTGTCAGGTCTTGCTGTGAATGAACTGAAAGTATGATGGCAGCAGAAGGAGAAAGTGGGGTCATCCCGTAGCTTAAAAAAAAAGCGAGGACTGGGAATTTAGCTTAGCGGTGCCGCGCCTGTCTGGTAGGCACAAGGTTCTGAGTTTGATTCCCAGTACCAAAAAGAGTGACATTAAAATGCATTTTTGGAATGAAGGGAATAATCCAGAGGAAACAAATGTGTGGTGCAGGACCTAGAAGACATATAGTGAATTATAGGGGAGAATCCCTGGAAAAACTAAGTTTATTAGATTTAGTGCATAAGTACCAGGTTTGGCCTGAAATTGTTGGGACCTGTCCCTCATGTTAACGAGGCAGGAAATTAGGATGTGGGCATGACCTGTCAATCATGGGTATCCAGGACACATGCTCAGAAAAACAAGTCCTACACCCAGGACCAACTGGAAAGTGCGAGCTAGCTTCAGTTCCTCAGGTGTGATATCAAGCAGGTTTTTGATAGGATGGCCTCAAACTGCCATTAGCCTGAGGAGCAAGGGACCCAAAATAAGGCCACCCCAACTGCCGGGCCACTGTTCTCTTAGTGGTTAGCTGTCACTTTGCAGAGCATACTTCTTTTCCAACCTTTCATAAATGTAAAACCTTGTTAACCTTTTCACTTAGACAACCAAGTCTTTGTTCAGGACAATGAGAACCTAGAAAGACTCTAGAAGGAGTCCATAGCATCCCACAAACCCTGCTAACTTTAACAGGAGTCACTAACAGCACCTGTTACATAACTTGTGAGAACCGATGTAAAATAAAATGTGGAGATCTTTAGCAATTACAGTACTAAGAATTTCAAGGCTGCAACTGGAGTGTTAAACCAAGTGTGGAGACCTTCTGTATTAGTCAGCTTTCTGTTGCTGTGAAAAAAAAATACCTGGGAAGAACTTAGAGGATGAGTTACTCTGGTCACTTGGCCCCATCTTTTCACAGAACATCATGGCAGGGAGCATGTGGTTGAGCAAAGCTGCTCACCTAATGGCAGTCAGGAAGCAAAGAGGAAGCCTACACCGAGTTACATTCCCATACCTGTTTTTTTGAGACAGGGTCTACGTCATTGCCTGGGCTGGACTTGAACTTGTGATCTCCCTGCCTCAGCCTCCTAGAGTGAGCCACCAAACCCAGCTTTTTTGGTTTTCTGAGATAAGGTCTCTGTGTAGGTTGGTCTTGGTTGCAGGTTGGGGCCATCTTCTTTCTCTGCCTCACTAGTGCTGGGATTACAGACAAGCAACACTATGCCCTTCAGAGAGAGGGCTTTTATAACAAAGCCCCCTTCCCAAATCCATTCACAATGATGACGTCAGAGACATCATGATCAAATGAACACTGATGCATTGCGTGCAAATCCTTCCATACATGGGCTTTTAGAGGGACGTTTCAGATTCAAACCCTAACACCTCCTAAAGTGCAAATGAAGTTTGTATGTCCATAAAGTCGGCCTTTGTGGATATGTGGTGATAACCATGGAGACGGGCTGTTTGCCAAGTGGCTTCCGAATCTCAAACGTCTCATGAAGGGTTATTAGAGGTGACTAAAGGCACTTGCGGTTCCACTGTTCTACAAGGTGGGCAGTCATTAGGAAAGCAGAGAAGCAGAGTTAGTCTTTTTTCAACTTTCAACATCCCCCCTCCTCTCCCATTTGAGTCCAGGGCTTTCTAGAAGGCTCCAAAAAACTCTGGCGACCATAGCAACGCAAGCCAAACTCCGGGACCCTTGGCTCCGCCCATCGCATCACGGAAGTGCTTGTTGATTGGTTCAGCACGCTAACCAATGAGCTGCGAAGCGGGCTGTTTACCGTGCGGTAAGTGGTCATAGACATAGAGGGAGGCGGGACGAGAGAGAGGGGAGGCGGGCCTGGGCGGCGGGGCGCTTGCGTGTTTCCGGCTCCGCTGCGGAAGGGGTCTTCCTGACTTGGGCCTTAAGGCGATCTAAGGGATCCTGCAGACCGCGCGACGCGAGGGCAGACCTCCAAGTGTGGGTCAGGACCGGCGCGATGGGCGGAGAGCAGGAGGAGGAGCGTTTCGATGGCATGTTGCTGGCCATGGCGCAACAGCACGAGGGCGGCGTGCAGGAGGTAACGGCCGCGCGGCGTCGGCCCACCTGGCCCAGCGGCACTCGCCTGCGCGTAGCCCTAGCCACTGTCCCTCCACCCTTCGACTTTGAGGGCCTAGGTCAACCCGGGTTGGCATCGCGGGCTCCGGAGATTCCCCTACATTCGTACTACACACCAGTTTCCTGTCCTGCCACCCTGCTGCTGGGCTCACCTCTCGGCCGTTTGGTGCCTCTCAGTAGTTTCAGTTTTAGCCGTTCTTGAGCTCTTGTTCTCGTCTGAAATTCCCCGAGAGCCTTAGGATTCCCTGCTCCCTCATTGGTGCCATACATGCTTCTGACCACATTCCCACCAAGAGCATCTCTTGAACTGTGGAAGACAGAGCCAGCCTATCAGTGCGTGCGAGGTGGGGGCTGGAGAGCTGGGTGATGTTAACACGTGGTCCTTTTTAGGCCTTGAATGAGGGAATAGGAGGTCTGGATTGACATTTGGTTTCCACTGCATACCAGTTTGGGACCCTTCCACCTGTCTAAGCCTCACTTTCCTTGTCCAGAAGATGGAACTACAAATTCCTGTTTCATATTATAGGAGAGTAGTATCTTGAAGGACTGAGTTCTCAGTGAGACTTGTTCATTCAACATTGTTTGTCACTTGTGATTGATGTGTTCCAGACATCCAAGCAGCTGGATTCTAGGAGTCCTGCCCGTGCTCCTCTGGAGCTGACAAAGAGCAATTTGCAAACGTAATTGATGCTGAATGACCAATAACCCATTGTGTATGACGCAGTAACATGTCTTGTATGAACGGCAAGGATAAACTAGTAGCACAAATTCTGTACTTGGTTTTTTTCAAACAGAAACAAAATTAGAGGTAGAAGAGGCTGCTGAGATTAGGCCAGAACCCAAATTTCATAAAGCCCCTGAAGGCCTGAGAGTGACAGGGATTTGATTATCACAAAGCTCCTGACCTGGACAGACGAGGTTCCTTAGCTCAGTGTACTTTCCACAATCTACTTCTGAGTCTATGTTGTACTCTGGACCATTCCTGCTTTTTGCCCCTAGTTACCTGTGGTGACCAAAGATTTGTAAACCCTTTGAGATGGTAGGGTGTTTCTGATCTACAAATGTGAAAAGGCTCGTTGTCTTCCAACACCCTAAATTATTGACACAAAATGGATTGGGAGTGAGTTCATTTTTTAATAAACAAAAAGACTATAAATAAGAATTACGAAAGAAATGAGATAATTCTAGCATCAGATTTAGAGTCATTCAGGCATAAAAGGGCTTGTTTGTGTTGACCCTAGGTCACCACTTGGTTGTTTCATTCAGCAAGAATTGCATTGAGCATGTACAGATGCCCTTTGACATTTAATGGGGTTTCATCCTGATAAACCCATTGTAAGTTGAAAATATGATTGAGCAGAAAGTGTGTCTCATTTACTGAACATCTTAGCTTAGCAACACAGTGAACTGTAGACCCTTGGTTCATTCCTCTTGTGATGGAATAGCTGGTGGGGAGCTGAGGCTCACTGCCTAGCATTGGAAGAGAATAACCACACGTTGCTAGCCCAGTGCGTGATCAAAATTCAAAATTTGATTTCTGTATGTATGTTGCCTTTATACCGCGTTGTAAAGTCAAAAAACCTAAGACAAGCCATTATTTAACAACTGGTGCCCTCATTGTAGCTGAAGAAAGACTAAGCCATGGTTGATGGTTCCTATGTTATGAAGATTTTACCTTCTACCAGTGAGTCTTTTGCTCCATCCCAGACACTGCTAAAGGCTCATCTCCATTATCTCATTTGATCCTCACAAGGTCCTAGAACTAGGTCTTACAGTGTTCAGAATCTCCCCAGAGTCACCTAGCTTACTATCTCGGTCCAGTGTTCAAATTCATCCACTTAGTTACATTGGTTCCCCCAGACAGAGTTAGTCCATTTTAACCTTAATGTTAGTGGTTTAATGTGCTTCCTTCCTGGCGTGTCTTAAGATCTTCATAGATGTTTTACTTTCTGGAGATGAAAGTTGGGTTTAGGCATTTTAGGCCCTGAATAAAGAAGAACAGTATTCTGTATGCTCAGGCTGCTTCTAGCACCCCAGGTAAAGTGAATCAAGCACAGAGATACAAGAAGTCAAAAATCTGCCTTTTAGGTGATCCTAAGATTAGGGCAGGTTTGCTGGTGGAAGGGACCAGGGGGTCTTGGCTGGGAAACTCAGTGAAATAGTCCTTCTTGGACTAAGGAAGTTGAATTCTGTACGCTTGAGGGCACCCAGCATGGCACGCCCAGAGCTTCAGTCTTTTTTCTGTGTCTTTCAGCTTGTGAACACCTTCTTCAGCTTCCTTCGACGCAAAACAGACTTTTTTGTTGGAGGAGAAGAGGGGATGGCAGAGAAGGTAAGTGTTGGAGGCTCCTGTCTCTTGGGCAGTACTCTATTTAGAAGGAAAGTTCATTTGGCCTTCATTTAGTGTAAGAGGAATCATTACTAGAGGCTGAATCCGTAGGGTGAGGCTTGGGAGAAGGGAAGCAAGCTCTCATTAAAGCTTCCTTGCTGGGTACATTGTCTAGCTGTTTCCCATGATTCTTTAGCAGTTTTATGAAAGGAACTCTTCCCATTGTGAGATGAGATTAGGAAACTGTCTCAGAGATGTTTTGCGCCGTTTATAGTTTTGAGTCTAGTTTTAGGAGAACCAGGGTTGAAAACAGTCAGTTGTGAACCTGTCTGTGTCCCTGACACCATGACATAATGCTGCTTTTTTTTTTTTTTTTTTTTTTTTTTAATGCAGACTGGCCTTAAAATAACAATTCTTCCTCAGCCTCCTAAATGCTTGGATGACAGGTGTGTGCCACCATACCCACTATCACAAAAATTTCTTGACTCCCTTTTCACTGAAGAGGTTTTGACTAATTACTTAGCTGAGAGTTGAGAGTGAGCAAATGCCAGAAATTGAAGCTGAAGAGAGAAATTTAGGAAAACTCAAAGCCAGCTAATCCATTATGTTCCCAAATATAGTGGCCCAAAGTTCAGTGGTTTGGGAATTGGGTTTGTGGAACTGGTTCTGAGGTTTTGAACTTCTAATTCCATAATTTAAAATTACATTTTTGAAAATTGGTAAGTCGTGCCATGCATGGTATTAACACACCTGAAATCTCAGCACTTGGGAGGTTAAGGCAGTGGGATCAAAACTTGGAGACCAGCATTGTCTTACATGGTAAGACCCTGTCTCACAAGAAGAAAAAAAATTGGTAAATCATGAGGCTGGAAACTTACTGAACTGTGATTTTTAAAAAAAATATCTTTAATATTTATTTCACATAAATTTGAGACATAGCAATAGGAAGACATTTTGCAAAACAGGTCTGGGATGCTCTATAAAGTGTCCTTTTTTTGGTTTTTAGAGACAGGATCTCACTATGTAGTTGAGACGGACCTGGAACTCACAGCGATCCTCTTGCCTCAGACTCCCGAGTGCTGGGATTACAGGCGTGCACCACCACACCTGGCTCTTGATGCTCTGAAGCTACTCTGTTATAAGAGGAGCTTGGCAGTAGGAGTTCCAGGTTCTTGTTCTAGCAAACAGTTGACATTGTGCTTGTGTGAAGTCCTATCCCAGGCACTTCAGGATTACAGAAATGAATATAGTCCTGGTCTTTGTTTTCATGGGTTTCATGGTGCTGGGTGTGGTAGTGTACCCCTGTAATCCCCACACTTTGGGAGGATGAGTTAGGTATATTGCAACTTTCAGCTCATTCTGGGCAGTTTAGTAACTTAGCCAAGACCATGTTGCAAAACAAAAAGTAAAAGGGTGGGGAGATAACTTCTGTGCCAAGGTTCAATCTCCATTATTGGGGGGGAAAAATAAAGTGATACCTCAGAACTGTCCTGGGATGATGGTAGTTACCATATAGTCTCGTCTCAGATTCTATCATAGCCGCATCCTCTGTTCCCTTGGGACCATCTCTTTCCAAGGAAGTCAGCCAGATTCTCAAGGCAGGCAGAAACCTAGCTAGTATTCCTGCTCTCTTCAGTTATAGCACAGTAACTCTTGTGTTGAGCACCTACCACCTACTATGTGCAGACCTCCCGATACATTTAAATTTTTTTTTTTATTATTTTTTTGGTTTTTTGAGACAGGGTCTCACTGTATAGTTGAGACTGACCTGGAACTCACAATGTAGCCCAGGGTGGTCTCAAACTCACAGCAATCCTCCTGCCTCAGCCTCCTGAGTGCTGGGATTACAGGCGTGTGCCACCGTGCCCGGCTAGCCCTCTTAGTTTTTTATTTTGAGATTGGAGTCTCACTAAATTGCCTAGGCTGAGTTCAAACTTGTGATCCTCCTGCCTCAGACTTCTAGAGTAGTAGGATGACAGGCCTGTGCCCAGCTAATATATTTCTTTGTCCTTTGGATTTTTTTGTGTTAGTAGTTAAATCACAGGCTTGATTTGCTTAGTTGAGGTTTTTTGTTCCCCAGAACTACTGTGTAGGTGATCTGGTGTATGCCCTCAGAAAGCACACAGTGTTTAGTTGTTTCTCATTTTGTGATAATAATTGTTGATCATGCCCAAATCTATTGTATTCATAGAGTTTGCAAAATGCTGAGCCTCTATTATTCTTCCTTTATCAGTTAAAACTTTCTCCTCCCTACCCCCCTGGTTACCTAGAAAGGATATGCTGGTGGGCTGGGATTTTAGCTCAGTGGCACTGCACCTTCCTCACAAGCACAAGGACCTGAGTTTGATCCCTGGTACCAAAAAAGGATATGCAGGAAAAGCTCCTTACTCATGGCTTTCAGAACAGTTACTTGATGCTTTACTGAGTGCTGGAGGTGACCCATGAAGTGGGTTTTCCCCCATTGTTTTTGTAAACTCATGGAGTTGAGTAGATGTGTACCATGCTGTTGCAGTTCTTACTGAGTCGAGGGAAGTCTGTCAAAGGACACAGGCCATTATCAGTGGCAGTTCCGGGTCCTGTCCCCATTTCCCTGTGCATACCCACAGTGAATTGCAGCATGTCACAGCCCTCTGCATCTGGAGATTCCTTTGTTATGCCACGTCACACTTACCGAATTCTCTCCCGGGCCAGGGATTTAGCTCAGTAGTACTGCGCCTGAGTTCAATCCCTGGTGTGTTTTGGTGGGGAGTCCCTTCTCTTCGTTTTTTTTTTTTTTTTTTCTTTTTTGGTACTAGGGATCGAACTCCTTGTGCTTGCCAGCCAGGTGTGGTGCCATTGAGCTACATCTCTGGTCCTCTCCTTACTTTTCAGTAGTCATTTCTTGTGTCTGTCCTTATTTCTGAGGAGGATACCTGTCTGTCTCCTATTTTCCTCCCTCCCTTCCTCCTTTCTCTCTTTCCTCCCCTCCTCTCCCTTTGTCCACCCCCTTTCTGTCTGTTTTGGCACTGGAGATTGAACCCAGGGCTTCAGCATGTTAGACAAACACTCTGCCACTGGATTACAGGGTGTTCTTTGTGTCGTTGATTCTTTTAAATTTCCTGTGTTTTTTTGAGAGAAAGTTTGGCTTTTAGTTCAGGCTGGCCTTGAACTCACCATGTAGCCCATGCTGCCCTCAAAGTGATGATCCTCCTGCCTCAGCTCCCTGAGTGCTGGGATTGGTTATGGGAATTCACCACCATGCCTGGCTAAATATAGTCCTCAGTAGATTAGCATTTAGTAAGAGACATCTCATAACATTCTTGTCTTCAGACAACATGTTTGAGAGGTACTTTGGGTGCTAGAGAGATGTAAGTTAGGCACAGATCCTGCTTCTGAGGGCTGTAGGGAAAGAGGAAGGTGCTGCCATAGGATTAAGTACAGATCTGTGGGGTCTTTGGGAAGGAGAGAGGGCACTTACTTGATGAGATTCAGGAAAGATTTTGAGAAGGGTGCTGCAGTTTAGTGACCTGAAAGCCACAGTGAGGTTGGACAGCTGAGGAGGCCAGAAAGGTATCCTAGGTGCATGAGGCAGTGTAAACAGGGTTGGGGAGTTTAAGGGTATGATAGGAAAAGAGCTACCGAATAGAGTCCGAGTCCACCAGGAGAGGGCATGGCTACTGCTCACAAATTAGGTCTGATTGAGGACAGAGGACCTCCTGGAGGTCAAGGTCACCATGGCCAGACAGAAGGACTCAGACACAGAGAGGCTGGAAGGCTGGACTCTGCATTGTGTGTCATGGGGAGCTTTGGGCTGGTCAGCCCGGAGCCCCAGCCCTGGGGGAAAGGAACAGGCTCAGGCTGAGGCAGCCAGGATAGCGGAACACTGTCATGTAAGGTTGATTAGAGGTGGATGATCACAAGTGACCTCTTTTGCTCTGTCCTTTGGCATCTGGATGGATGTAGCTGCCACTCCTCAAGATTAGGGCCCTGGCTTGTGGGTGAGGGTAGGGGTTCCCAGAGTTGGTTCTAGGGATCATAACAGTGGCCCTCAGTGATGTTCTGATAGTTGCAGTGATGGGGACCTTTGGATCTGTGCCTTAGGTGAGGGCCTGCCTGTTGTTTACCAACCCTCCAGATAACCCTTGCTGAGACCTTTCAGTCTTTTCCTAGGGGCCCTATGTTGGGCAGCTAGGGAGTAGTGCAAAGGCAGGGGCCAAATGCACTGCTTCGGCCCAGTGGTCCGTGGCGGAGGGCTGTGGTGGGGCCTGAGACAGGAGAATTGCTCAGCTGGGGAGGAATTTGACAGTCCTCTTATTGAGGATCCCGGCCACAGTCAGCCACTGTTGTTTGAATGTGCCATCTCCCTCAGGTGTGTTGGGACGCCCTCCCCACAGGGTGTTCAGGTTCAGGATCTCATGCCTCCAGGTTCAGATTAAGGGAAACACTCTAGGCCTGTCCTCCAGTGTGGTCGGGACAGCCATTGCTCACATGTGCCCAGCTCACCCTGCTGAGCTGTGGTTCCTAAAGATGTGTCCAGTGATTGAAGCTGCACTCCATGGCAGCCTCTGGGTTGGCACCTGTGAGGAGGCTGCCAGACTGACAGGGTGTCCTTCTGGTGGGAGGAGACTAGGAGGGGGGTCGGAGACTGCTGTGATTGGCCTTGACTGTGCCCTCAGGTAACCTCCAGGAGCTAGGAAGGAATAGGACAAATGGGATGTGACATGATTTACTGGGGCTGGGAGGGGAGGGCCCTGCTTTTGCCTCCCCTTGGCCACTGGTTGGCAAATGGCTTGAGTTCAAGGTCCCCCTGATTAGAAAATGGGACAAGGTCCTTGGTGGAACAGCTCTGCTGTGTAATTGTCTCATGACCTGTTGTTTCTCTTGACAGCACAGTGGCCTTCAGGTGACTTATTTCTCTCACCTCTTTTGTTTTTTGCTTTTCTTTTCTCTCTTTGTTTTTGAGAAGGGTCTTGCTGTGTGGTATAGGCTGGGCTCAAACTTACTGTAATCCTCCTGCATCAGCCTCTCAAATGTTGACTTTACAGGTGTGCCCCACTATGCCTGGCTACCTCCTTTTCCTGTTAACTCATGTGGTTGGGGGGTGGTGCTTTTGGTGGCCTTTACAGAATGTGGCATGGGGCTGGGGTTGGGAGTTACGGGAGGAAAGTACAAAGATGAATAGGAAGCCATGGACTGTAGTGACTATAGGACCTTGCAGACCCCTTCTTCCCTCCAGCTCTGATTCAGATGCTGGGAATATGGTTTACATTCCAGTGATCACATGGTGGATGCCCTGTAAGGCTTTCCGGTGTGTGCGCCATGTGTGGTCTAGCGGGTAAAAAGACACTTGAGCTGGTCTTAGAGGGTGACCTGGGAGAGGGAAAAAGGGATTCTAAGCAAAAACCAGTGTATGTCAGAGCTGCTTTTAGACAGGCATGGAGAGGTGACCACAGGGGTCACACTCCAGAGTCTCCAATCAGGAGGTCTGGAGTGGGTCCTGAGATTGAGCCTTTCAGATAGGCCCCAAGTGGTGCTGATATTGCAGGTTGGGAGAAGCACACTGGGTGCCACTGGCCTTCTGGCTGCTACAGCAGAGAACGTCCTCCTCTCAACCCGTGCCACTGATGTGTACAGCCCCAGCCAGCCAACAAATGCTGTTGGGAAGCCAGCATTTTATACATGGCTTTTGTGAGGCAAGGACCAGACTACAATCTTGCAGGGTGCTGTCATATTCAGTCCTGACAGACAAGGAAAAACGGGGTTTAGAAAGAGGCACAGTTGCTCACTTGTCCGAGGACACACACCCAGATAGTGACAGGAGCCAGTGGGTTAATGCCTGGGTGGCAGGGAGGCCAGCTAGCAGATTGTAGGGTAGAAACATACTGGGAAGGCTTGTAGGAGAGAAAGGAATCACAATAGCTGGCTTGCTAGCTGGTGAGGGGGAGATCAACCTTTTCCCTCAGGAAAACTGGTGTCCTGTTACTGTTGCCATCCTGGGGTGGCATTTTGTGCTGCCAAGCTAGGACTGTGCCCTGGAGACAGAGTATGTGTAGGTGGGAGAGATCCTGGAGCAGGCAGGTCCGGCCGTGAGATAGGCTGAAGCTTGAGTTCTGATTGGCACAGCCTCACTTTCTAAAGCAGCCACTACTTACTGAGTCAGGTGCTGTTGAGGTGTATGATGTGCAGCTCTATAAAAAGAGTGTGTAATCCCCATTTTCCATTGAGAAAACTGAGGTTCTGTTATAGTGCTTCATGTGGCACTCAGCAGAAGAAATGGGACCAGACTCCACTGCCTTGCTCTCGTGCCTCATCACCTCTGCTTCCCCCAGCTCATCACGCAGACCTTTAACCACCACAACCAGCTAGCCCAGAAGGCCCGGCGGGAGAAGCGAGCCCGTCAGGAGACTGAGCGGAGGGAGAAGGCAGAGCGGGCAGCCAGGCTGGCCAAGGAAGCCAAGGCAGAGAACTCTGGGCCACAGATCCAGGAGCTGACTGATGAGGAGGCAGAGAGGCTGCAGTTAGAACTTGACAAGGTGAGGCTGGTCTTCCCTCCTGCACACCCCCCAGGGTCCTTTTGTCATTGGGAAGTGAAGTCTTGTTGCCAACTGCTGTGTCCTTTGCCACAGAAAAAGGATGCAGAGATTCATGAGGCCCAGCTTAAGAATGGCAGCGTTGGCGCCCCAGAGAAGCAGGTGAGATGGACCAGAGGCTCTCGGACCTAGCCAAGGGGTTGGGCACTAACCCTCTTCTTTCTCTGGAATGTCCTCCTTTCCCCTTCCCTGCCCCCAGCTTTGGGGATCCTCCTCACATTTCAACATCCCATTCAGAAACATGGGACAGATGGATATGAGTTTAAAAAACAAACAGAAAATCTACTGGCCTTTATCTTGGACAGGAGAGCTGAGAGCCACAGAGGGCAAGGCAGTTGCCTGTACAGGCACCATCAGAGGTGGGTGGAGGTCTTGGGCCCAGCCATGTCCTTTGTCATTTGGTAATAATAGTTTGCATTCCTGGGCAGAGATCAGAACCTGGTTTTACCTCTGTGTCCTTGTCGGTCAGGATTTGGGGGTCTGCCCCTGCAGAGTGGGCAGGGACCAGGTCTGTTTGTGTTGTGGCTGTATGCTCCATGCTAGCCCTGGGTCTGGCCCAGTGGGTGTTCAGTCTGTGTCAAGTAGCTGAGCACCACTGATTGTGAGCAGGAGGCTGAGGAGGATGAAGAGGAAGATGAGAAGGACAAAGGGAAACTGAAGCCCAACTTGGGAAATGGCGCTGACCTGGCCAATTACCGTTGGACCCAGACCCTGTCAGAGCTGGATGTGAGTGAGCCCTGGGCCAGGGGCAAGGGCTGGGAAGCCATCCTGGGGTCCTGGCAGTGCCTGCTGACCCCTCCTTGACTGCCTGTGTCCCATGCAGCTGGTGGTGCCCTTCAACGTCAACTTCCGGCTGAAAGGGAAGGATGTGGTGGTGGACGTCCAGCGACGGCACCTCCGGGTGGGGCTCAAGGGGCAGCCAGCGGTCATTGATGGGGAGCTCTACAACGAGGTGAAGGTGGAGGAGAGCTCATGGCTCATTGAGGACAGCAAGGTGGTGACTGTGCATTTGGAGAAGGTATGTGTGGCCTGCTCTCTTAGCTTGAGTGCTGACAGTGGGAGTTGAGGTGGGAGGGTCTTCTGTCCACTTGGGCTGTGCTTGGGGCCATGCTAATCCCCACAGCAAGACCCTTCAAAGTAGTCTGATTTGAAGTCAGGAAAATGCCGAGATTGCCCCTGCTCCAAGATGGGTGGCAGTGTGAGGGGTGGATTGGGGGGCGGGGAGCCTCTTTTCCATCAGATTTGCATGTGTTTATTTCTACACATATTGAACACCCACTACACTCCAGCTGCTCTTCTAAGGCTGGAGAGAAAATAGCAAAATGTAGAAAAGCAAGGTGTCCTCAGAAAGACTTCTCCAGTTCACTGCCTTCCTTGAGAGGTGAGGCAGATACCAATAAATCATGGCCCTCTAGGAAGGGTTGAGGGTCTAGGGACAGCCTAGCTCCTAGTTTAGAGACAGCAGTCTGCCCAGTACGTCTGGCTGCCCTTGCATTTGTTTTCCTCCCAGCTGAAATGATCTTTCCTGCTTTTTTCTTTCTGTCCTCTGCTGCCATGTATTGTTTATGTCTTAAGGCTTAGCCTGTGTCACTCTAGTTTCTCTCCACACCCTGAATGACTGTGTCCCTCTGTGCTTTTTCTTTTCCTGTATCACAGTGACGTCTAACACTGGCCTCACCTCTCCTCCCCAGCTGCTGGGTGGGCAGAGGGCATTCTCATCCGTGCCCCTGGTTTAGCACAGGCCTATGAGGGTCTCAGGTACAGGATGTGGGTGGGAAAGTTTGGTCCTGGAAAGGTTGAGAGAGGGGCGCAGAGCGAGCCCCTCCTGTCCCCCTGGGTGTCTTTCTTTTCACAGATCAATAAGATGGAGTGGTGGAGTCGCTTGGTGTCCAGCGACCCTGAAATCAATACCAAGAAGATTAACCCTGAGAACTCCAAGGTGAGCCCCAGCTGGTTGGGGGAGTTTCAGCATTGAAGGGAGAGTCCTGGCTATTCCCTAAGCATCACCCATCCCTGTCCCTGCCTGCCCTCAGCTGTCAGACTTGGACAGTGAGACACGGAGCATGGTGGAAAAAATGATGTATGACCAGAGACAGAAGTCCATGGGGCTGCCCACCTCGGACGAGCAGAAGAAACAGGAGATCCTGAAAAAGTAAGCAACTCAGAGATAGGGATGTCAGGAGGGTCGGTGCCTGTGAGGTTAGACCTGGGTGACAGCATAGAGCAGGTCACCCAGCAGGATTAAGCTTCCCTGCCCCTTTCAGCATGAGCTAGCCAAGTTTACGGCTTTATGGCATTGGTTGCCTAGCCTAATCACTTGTTGAGGTCACCTCGAGGGCAAGGCCAGCTCAGGGTAGAAAGCAAAGGGTAACAGGCGGTCACTGCCACCTGTGAAAACAGTGCCAGTGTTGGCACCTATTTCCAGTCCTAGGGGCTCAGATAGGCCTCAGATACTCGGGGCCTTGCCTAGCCCAGTGCTACATTTCTCAGGGTTCTAAAGAAGTTAGACTTGATTTCGGTGTTTTGGGGAGGACAGCCTGTTTAACCTCTTGCTTCCACTTCCCCAGGTTCATGGATCAGCATCCAGAGATGGACTTCTCCAAGGCCAAATTCAACTAGTTCTGTGTTTACCTCCCTGAACTCTTGGGGCTGAGCCCCCGAGCCATCGAACTTCCTTTCCCAACATTCCCTGGTTCTTGGGGAGCCTCAGGGCAGGGGCAGGCATGGGGCTGGCCCAGGTACATGGGTTCCAGGACATCATGGGAGAAGGGCTGGGCCTACTGTTACACATTAAAGCTGTTTACCCAGCTCCACCTGTGTCCTCTCCTCCCTCTGGTCTTTCCCTGGGACCAGCTTCTTCTGGCTTCTAGCCCAGATTCTGCCATATCTCCTAGGACAAGTCCTTGTCTTGTCCTCTTTGTGCCTCAGTTTCTTCCCATTATTTATAGGGAAGATTAGGACAAGGCTTTTAGTCTCTATAGTAGTGGGCAGAAGTGAATTTTTCTGGCTGAAAAGACCAAAACATACATTAGATTCTCAAGGAGGCCCACAACCTAGCAAAGATTGACGAGCTAGAGGGCCAGGGATTTAGCTCAGTGGTACACTGCCTGCCTCACAAGGACCTGAATTCAATTCCTGGTACCAAAAAAGTCATGGTTTTTGGCCATGGATTTAGCTCAGTGGTTAGGTGGCTTGCATTGCAAACACAAGGTCTCAAGTTCAATCCCCAGTACCAAAAAAAAAAAAAAAAAAAAAAAAAA